TGGTCGCCATTTTTGTGATGCGTAGGCTGTGAAACGCACAGCACGGCAGGAGATTTGCAGGTTGTTGCTCTATATTGTACAACCACTCGACCAGAAACACCAGAAAGCGGGTGATATCTCAGGATCTTAAGGATGGATAATAAACACAGTGTTTAAAACACTCGACTGGGTGTACCGTAAATCTCGGCGAACATGTAACATCGTAAAGTGCATAATTTGGTAATGTAGAAAGTCTTTTTTGGAGATATACTCGACATTTCAATGCTTCGTACATTTACACGTTTAGGTGTTCTGGACAGGTTACATCTTCGCCGTGCTATACGGTACCTGGTTCCTATAATAATTTGGAATGCATACCATTTTCGCGCCCATATACGTTAGACTCGACCAAAACCTGCTGTTCGGTAGTGTTTCTAGCAATTACATCTTTATTACGGAACAGCTGTAAATTCACGAGGTCAAAATTTTTTTATCGTTAATTCCTAGTCTCAACTCGATATAGATACATACTCGTTCTCTATTGTACTAGTTTTGTTATCTACACTACACTTTTGGATAGTAATGTTATTCATGAATTTTGACCTATCCGGATAACCAGTTTGAATTATTTGCAACCTTAGTGTAACAATCGTACGGACAATCGTCTTTGCAGTGATATCTTCTAGGTACGGATGTCAACAGTGAAGTGTACTCATAAAGGCAATGGTTGCCTTTTCTTAAACATCAACGCTAGCACGGTGTCCGTCCGTCACACGAAACGGTAATATTTTGAGCCCTCCCATTGGCTGCCGAGCAAAGCGACGGTGGTCCTGATTGGCTAAAATTACATTATGTGGCAAACATAACTAATTATTTGTAGCAGAAAGTAGATGCGACGAGTGTTAGATGATTATGCTGGGATACTTTATTAATCCATAAATGGTAAACGAACTCAAACTCGCGTAAACGTGGACGCTTAATCGATAGCAGGATAATTGAGACAGTGAGAGACTTAACCATATCGCTAGTTGCTCGCAAAGTCACTTTGCTGTAACCTGTGCATGTGAGCTGCTGTCAACATAGCTATTTGGGAGTAGTAGTTTTACATCAACAGTAGACGGCATGAAACAACGCAAACAAAACCAAGTACTATTTCATTTTGGTGAAGTGGTGTTTCAGCAATGCTACGAACTGAGGAAACACTTCAGACTGCACACTGCAAGATCATAAAGTAGATAATAAAAAACAAAAAATTGTTTGATTTTAGTGTTAGGGCATGATACTATCGCTAAATATTCGTAAATAAACTGTACTTCCTTTGGTCGGAAATGATCACGTGAAACCGACTATTTGACCAATTGCTTCAGCTCTGTTTAACCATTACAACATCTGATTGAACAAAACGAAAGCCCCGCATCTCCTCTTTTTCTAGCCACCAGTTTTGCCCCGAACGAACTACTGTAGCCTCTG